AAGGCTGAGGGGGGATCTAGTGGCCTGTTACAAACTAGTCAGAGGGGACCAGCAGGCATTGGGGTAGTCCCTGTTCCCCCGAGCACTCCCAGGAGTGACAAGAAATAACGGTCACAAGCTGGCAGAGGGTAGATTTAGGCTAGATATCAGGAGGTACTACTTCATAGTCAGGGTGGCTAGGATCTGGACCAACTTCCAAGAGAAGTGGTGCTGGTTCCTACCCTGGGGGTCTTTAAGAGGAGGCTAGAAGAGCACCTTGCTGGGGTTGTTTGACCCCAGTACTCTTTCCTGTCATAGCAGGGGGTCAGACTTGATGAACTGCTCAGGTCCCTTCCGACCCTACAAACTATGAAACTATCACCAGGTCAACATTCCCATCTTCCCTCCTACGTACCTGTCTCGGACCTATTGTTTCCCATTCCCTCTGATCCTCACTGCCATGCATTTGCATTTTCACAGATCTGCAATTTGTATATTAATTTCTATTCCACCATAGAGAACACATATAGCAGCAGGCTCTCCCTGTGTCTGAAATAGGGTGTTTGTGCCTGCAAGCTTGGAAAGAACAATTTTCCAACTATTTAGTTGGTCTAATAAAAGATATAACATTTACCCAAAGAACCTTATCTGCCTATGTCTTTAGACCAACCTGGCTACAACCAACAATCCTAAATTCCTGACCACTAGTGTCAGCTCAGTCCTTTCAAGGCTAGTTGAAGACACTTTCATAAAATCATAGATAAGTGGACCTGAAAGGAACCTCTGGAGGTCATCTAGTCCAAGGCTGTTGCATTTCTGAGTGGCTGAGGGCATACAGCCCTGAGGCACACACCCCATGGGCTGCACAACCACAGGCCACAAGCAGCATGGGCTGCACAATGCACGTGCCTCTTGCTCTGCCCCCCTCCGCACAACAGGTAACTCCTACACAACATCCATGTTGTTGCATTGCGGTAGGTCTCCAGATTCACCCCTTGCCCAGCCTCACAGGCTCTTCAGCTCTGGCCCACCACCAGAGAGGCAGCAAAATCTGGAGGAAGGAAAACCAGGAGCCACAGTTTAATTCTTCAGGAGCCAGGACAGATCAGGACTGTCCTGTGGGCCAGCAGTTGGACCAGGGGTGGGCAAAATATAGCTTGCAGGCCTGCCAAAATATAGCTTGCAGGCTTCTTGGGACCCCTAAAAATTTTAGAAAATTAATTTTTATCTGCCTCTAGCTGCCTGTCAAAATGACAGGTAGACAGAGGCAGCAGGACCCAGGGGGAGCCTGTGTCAAGACCCAGCGACTGACCAGCAAGTCCAGCCCAGCTCCACCCCGTCCTCAGGCTCCCACCTCCCTCACACCCCCAGCCCCTAACCAGAAGCCTCTGCAGCTTCCAATCTTGCACCCCTAGAGCTGTTACCCACCTCCTGCCATCCAAGTGGAAAGTAAGATAAGATCAGAAGGGGGGGGGGGGGGGGGGGGGGAGAGAAGAAGAAGAAAAAAAAATTTTTTAAAAATCGCTGCTAATTGCCCAGCAGCTGGGAACCCTGTGGTACTGGCCAGGCCGGGCTGGAGCCAGGGGGAGAGGCAGAGGGAAGCAGTGGCAGTGGGGGAAGTGGTGGCAGGGGAAGTGGCAGCAACAAACAGTGCAGGAGCCAAGGGGACTAGCACAAAAATCGGAGGGGCTGCAGCAGTGGTGAGTGGCAGGGGCCACAGGGAGTAGCAGGGGCCTCAGGGAGTGGTGTGGGAAGCAGCAGGAAGTGGTGGAGGTTGCAGTGGGGGCCACAAGGAATGGCGGAGGCTACAGCAGTGGTGGGGGGGCCACAGAGGCTGTGGCAATGGCTGCAGGGAGCAGCGTGGAGAATGGCAGGGGTTGCGGCAGCAGCACAAGGAGCCGTAGGAGCCACAAGGAGTGGTGGAGGCCGCGGCTGGAGCCATGGGGAGTAGCGGAGGCTGCGGCAGTGGCCATGGGGAGCGACAGAGGCTGCAACAGCAGGGGGGGCCACAGAGAGTGATGTCAGGAGCGGCAGGGGCTGCAGCACCAGCGGGGAACCAAGTCCCCTCTCTCTCGGTCTCTCTCATCCCATCCCATCCCATCCCATCCCATCCACCATACCCACACCCCACCACACAGAGACACACTCCCCAACCACACCCCGCCACATACATCCCCTTACCACCCATGCAGAATATACCGTAGGACTGTATTTTGAGCTATTAATGTAGTCACCTCTAGATACATTTCATAAACAGAGATATCAGTATAAAAATATTTTTAAACAACATTAAAAAAAGTTATAGTATATGTTTAATTTTTTTTGTATATAGATTCATAGATTAAAGGTCGGAAGGGACCTAGTAGATCTTCTAGCCCGACCCCCCGCCAGGGCGGGAGAACAACAAAAAAACCCCAAAAAGAGAAACGGGACTCAAATGAGTCCAGCCAGGTAGGCATCCAGCCTCTTCTTAAAGACCCCCAGGGTAGGGGCCAGCACCACTTCCCTTGGAAGTTGGTTCCAGCTCCTAGCCGCCCTAACTGTGAAGTAGTTCTTGCGGATGTCCAATCTATACCTCCTCTCCATCAACTTGTGCCCATT